ACAAAACAGTGGTCTGCTTAGTGGAAGTTAAAAGTTTGTACAGTCCGAGCAACCACCGAAAATCTTTTTCATCTTATTTAGCAAGTCAGTTCGAGTCATTGAGTTTATAAAAGAAGAAGTGAGGTTTCCTGAATCTATCAGCGAGTGTTTTTGAGTCTTTGATAAGTGCGCCTGAATATCACAAAGCCTTTACAATCACATCATTTGGATTATTAGGGAGAAAAAACTAACTAATTTAAGATTTTTTATTATCGCCTGCCTGCGTGCGGGGTATTAAGTCCAAACAAGCTTTGTAAACTTTTTCGGAATACGTTTTGTCATTGTCAATCAATTAATTGTTTATTCGAATCCTTTGGCGACCCAGATAGAGTCCTCATGGCAGATTTTTCTACTCGTGCCCAAGATTTATTTCAGATGTGAATCAAAATTTGTGTAATAAATTCTTTGGAATTTTCCGAAGTTGATCGAGGACACCAAGCAAATTGAAACATTGAAGTGAATATTCGGATTTTTCTTTATAGCCGGATGTGTACGACGAGATATTATAAAATTCTAAGCTTCAATTTTGATTTGTTTTGAGCTGGTGTAGTGACACCATTCCATTAATTTTGTGTAAATAATCGCCCTGTTTATTGTGTTTACTTTTTTGTAAAGTAGTCAGATAAGGAATAGCAAGAAATTATTTGCGTAGTATTTGTAAAACTTTATCTCATGTTTATCTCCGATCACTGATAAGAACTATTATCAAGGCGTACACTAATTACATTTTAAAATATGGACGTGTTATCGCCGGTGACGACGCATTAGTTTGGTAAAGGATGAAAATAAAGTAACTGGATAGGGAAAAGATCTTAAAAAAGCGAACTGGACGTTAAACGACACCATTTGTTGGTCAAGCGTCTGTGGTGGCTTTTTTGGGTGAAAAACCTGAATCGAGCTTTTTGGACGTTGAAACGTGACCGTTTGTTTTGGTATATTGCCGTATTTAAGCGTATTTGAAAATACAGCCTGTCTTGTTTAATTGTAAAGTTGCATGGAAGAAAGCTACAGGATGTTTTAAAGAATTTTCTTTGCGTCGTGATAAAAGTGAACGTTAAGTCGAGTAACTGGCAGCGTTTTTTTTTACGTTTACGAAGGAGTTTCCCAGTACTCGTTAAAGGAAGTATGTGCTATCATTTTGTGTCTGTTTGTTTTAAAATCGCAGTTATGACCAGAAATTTTGGATTCTTGACACTTTGAGGAAATTAAGATGTCTTTAATTAATTATTTAATCGATCGCTTGTGCGGTGTGTTTTATCGAGCCCTGAGATTACTGAATAATTAACGCCTGTTTCAAGATGGCTCTTGTAATTAAGTAAACCATTTTTTTTCAGATTGTTGCTTGGAGGTACCCCCGAAATGGACTAGCTCTAGGCTGTAGGTACCTTGTGACTACCCACACTCCGA